AATAAAATTAAATAATAAAATAAAACAAATGAAATCCCATAAAATAAAATTAAATTAATTAATTAAAATATTAGCGAAATTAGGTAAAATCAAATAAAAAAATTGTTACAAAAAAGTAAATAAAATAAAATTAATTAAATTAAAATAAATTGAATAACATATAAAAAACATATACTAAACAATATTCGTATAAAAAAAAAATGAAATAAAACATGAAAAAAATTAATAAAAATAAATAAGTAAAATAAAATGACATAAAATAAACTAAAACACCACAAAAAAAACAATTGAATAAAATAAAAAAATAAATAAAATATGACAAAATAAAATATAAAAACTAAGGACTAAAAAATATTAATTTTTTATAAGTTTTTAGTGAAAAATATTAAATTAAAATGAACAAAATGCAAAATGCACAAAATAAAGTAAATAAATAGAAATAAAATGTATATTAAAAATAAAAATGAAATAAATAACATACAAAATTTCAATAAAATAAATAAAATGAACTAATAAAAAATAACATAAAATTTAGGAAAAATTAAATAATGTTAAATGAACAATAAATTATAATAAAAGTATTAAATTAAATAAAATATATTAAATAAAATAGAACAAAATTAAACTAAATTAAATATAGTACAATAAAATTAATGTAATTTAAAATTAGTTTCTTGAACAAAAAAAAAATTTTTTTTAACATTAATATTTATTTATTCGGAAGCCTAATGATAAGTAATAAAATCTTAATTAAAAATTGAAAAATTATAATACAAAATAAATTAAGTAAAAAAAATTAATGAAAAAAAATAAAATTAAACAAAATAAAATATTAAATGAAATTTAAAAAAAAATTAAAACAAACTAAATTCAATTAATAAACAATTATCTGTTTATTAATTGAATTTAGATTGTTTTAATTTGAAATAAAATATTTCACATTACAAAGTAAAATAAAATAGATACAATAATATAGAATAAAATACAACAAATTAAGAAAAATAAAACAATTTAAATTAATACAAATAAAAAAAAACCCAAGTTCAAATCCAATTCTAACAAAGGTGTCTGGAAAAAGAAGTCTGATGGGGAAACGTGGTGGTTTCCGAAATAGCAGCTATAAGTTATATCGTCAAACAACTATTGTTGTAATTTTTTTAGTATTTCCAAAAAACATATATGGTCTGAAATAGTTCCAGACAAAACTGAAAATAAATAAAATTAATTAAAAACTAAGATTAAGTAAGATCAAGTAATATAAAGTAAATTAAATAAATTTAATGAAAATTTCTTACGAAAAAACTAGCTAAAATGAAATAAGAATAAAATAAAATGAAAAAATTAATTTTAATAAAGAATTAAACTGAAAACTAAAAATAATATAATTTAATGTACATATTATGAAAAAAAAATAATTAATAAATTATATTAAAAAAATTGAATTCATTTAGAAAATTAATCAAATATTATTGTACAATAAAACTATATTAATTAAAATTAAATTAAAAAATTTTAGGAAAATCTCAAATAAAAAATTTTAAATAATTGACATATCAAAAAAAAAAAGCGATATTAAATATTTTCAAAATTCTAAACTCTAATTGATGCAGATAAAGCGCCTTAACGTATTTAAAGTTTCAAAATCTGCATATGCCTTCAAAAAAATAATTTAAAATCAATGCCAGAAAAATCGTTTTCCCTCGATTTTTACTATTAAAGACAATAACAATTCAATTTATTCAAACAATTTTCAAAATTACCATTTCTCACTTGCACTCATAACTATATCCCTAAGCTCCTACTATTCATAATCTCACTAAGGAACTATCCCTAACCGAAAAGGAATACAAAGAAAGAGCAGAGCGAAAGTGAAAATGAAATCAAATAAATGAATGCCCTTAAGCCAATTCTCCATTTTATTACATTTGATTCAATTTCTACTATCACCAACAATTTGCACAAATTGTTGTTGTAGTAGGTCAGATTCAAAAGAATAGATTAATAAAAACTTATAGAGGGTAGCAGCACTTGAATGGAATGTGGGAGAGAAAGATTTTATCTTTGAGGGACCATTGAAAAGTAAATATGTTGGTATGTAAAATTTAATATGTTTACAAGTCTGCAAATTATGGAACCGAAAAAGGCATATTTCAAATTTTAATTTCTAATTTTTCTATGTTCTTTTTTTTGAAGAAAAAAAAGAAGAAGAGCACACCCACACTTCATATTTCCTACACTTCGTTGCATTGCATCTGCATAAATGCGCATAAATATGTGCTAAATGCATTCGTGCCAAACTCTAAACTGCCAATTAACCACTTATGCTAAATGCTTAATAATCATTTTTGAGATTCCGTGCATTTCGAGGTAGCAATTAATAAATATTTATTGTTGAATGGTCACACGCAGCTCTTAAAATGCACAATAAATACTTCTGCGCATAGAAGTATATACATACATACATACATACATATATACGTGTACATACTCGTATGTATTTGTGCATGTGCCCATCGCTCATACGCTCATCAATAAATTCATATTCAATTCAACTCGCTAATTCATTTGGCCATGAAATATATTAAAATTCCACATACTCACCGACAAACTAACCAGCGAGTGTGTTCTTCTGCGCCTTCGCCTTTGTCTTCTTCTTCTTCTTCTTCTAGCAGTACTTCGGTACGCCCGCACGTGAAAACATATTTACATACATACATATATACAGACAAACTTAGTGAATTATTTGTTGTAATGGATGCTAATCACTAGAGCTCTACGACCACCAACCAACACCTACAGTGCTTTAAAAATATATACATACATGCACACATACATATACTATGTAAGTATAAATTTATTTATGCTCAAGTCCAAGTATGTCTTATATTTGGACATTGGATATGATGGAAGCGCTAATAAACTGTGAACAAGTGAACAAGTCAAGCAGCTCAACGCTGTGATTTAAGTATGTAAGCAGGTGTATATATGTATGTATGTATATATGTAAGTATTAAGTAAGCGAGCAGGTAAGTTAATGCGGCATATTTTATTTATGCTCCAACTTCCTCATTCTCGCATACCATAAGTATAAGTACAGCAGCGGTCTAGCGGATTGTGAATATTTATGTGTGACGCTATTCATTACAGCGTAGCACATACAACTTTATATTTACATAATCAATGAGCGCACGAAAAAAATGTTGCGTAGAGTCCACTAAACTGCTACTAAGCACGGCAAGCGGTATGGAGGAAGTCTCAAGTGGAGTTGTCGGTTTAACTAGTTCACAAATTAGGTGCAAAAATTTCAATGGCGTTTGTGTTTGTAGAGCTCGCAGAAGCGGAATATTTAAATTTAAATTCTTTTCTGCTACATATACAACAGTATGGTCAGATTAAAAATAAATAAAAATATATTTATGTATAAACATTGTTCGGTTAGTGTTTTCTTGCCCGTAGCTAATTCTGTGCTCCTCCATAATATTTTCTATATTCTTCAAATATTCATATTTATTTTAATTTTTTTTTTCTTACAAAAATTTTGCTACCATTTCTTTACCCAAATCAAACGCAAACTCTGCTGAGCAAATTGATTTAATTCACACTTTTGATCTACAAATATTTTTTTTTTTTGTTTTGTTTTTTTTTTTTTTTTTTTTTTTTTTTTTTTTTGTTTTTTTTTCAACTCTTTTTGATATTTATTTAATATTCTTGTTGTCGTACACCTTAAGGCATTTCCTCCTACGTCAAAATTCCACTTTCGTTTTCTATCAGAAGTGGTTAGTGAATATATTAATTTATTTTACTTCTTCTTCGTTCTTATACAACTTCTTTAACCTTTTTTTTTTAACTCGTTCGTCGCATCGTCTCATTCACTAAAGTAATTAATATTCTATTCAAATGCGTCGAAGCGGTAATCAAAAATAAATGAATATTTTTTACCCACTCTTTTGACCACTCTCACTTTCATTTCGACGCCGGAGGAATAGTTTATTGCTTTTATATACACGCATACATATTTTTATACACATACAAACTGCGTCAGTGCATATTCAATTTGACGTTTCGACGCCTCAGGGCAAACTTGTTGTTTTATACTATTTTTTTTAAATATTTAGTTGTGCCTTTTTTCATTGATTGCATTTAAAGAAATAAGAATGAAATAAAATTAATTAAATTATAATAAATCGAAAAAAAAGAATTAAAAAAAAAGATTAATTGAAAAAGATAATTAAAATATGTAAAAATAATTAGCGCGAAAATTTAAATAAATATTCAAATAATATATTATTTATAATAATAATTATATATAGAATAAGATTATATTATATAATAATATATTCAGGAACTATTTAAAAAAACAAAACTAAAAAAATAAATTAAATTAAATAAAAGAAAATAAAAGTAAATTAATTGAATTACAATTTAAAAAATAAATAAATAATATAATTAAATTAATATAAAATAAAGAAAAAATAAAAAATAAATAAATGAACAAAAATTAAAACAAATCAAACAAAATAAAAATAATTGAAGTGTAAATTAAATTAAATTGTACAAAAAATAATAATAATAAAATAAAAAAAATAAAATAAATTATAAAATAATATAAGAATTTTAACTTTTTTAATTTTTTTTTAAATGGAATAAAAAATAAATTAATAAATTAAATAAATTAAAAAAAAATAAAAGAAAACGAAATAAAAAAAATTAAGTAACATAATGTTTATTAAAAAATTAAATAATATAAAATAAAATATGTAAAAAAAATAAAATAAATAAAATAAAATAAATAAGTAAAAATTTCTAATTTAAAAATAAAGAAATAAAAAATAAAAACATTAAAAAAACATCTAACAAAATAAAATGAAATAACAGAGGGCCAACCATTTTGCTGCTTGGAAAACAAACATTAATGAAATGCATTTAAATATATTTTTCATAAAATTCCATTTTTATTATAATTTTTGAAACTTGACATGATATTATATATGAAACACAAATGAACGCCTCGCGAATTTCCGCAAACTTCGATCTGTTTGAGATAATTTTCGACGACTTTTTGGCACATATTGAGCGGTATCACAGCCATGACTGGTCGAATGTTGGCATTCAAGTGCTCACGAATTTAAAGGTTTATCCGCATAAATGTGATCTCGATGGCATGGTTGTTGGAACCTTTTATTGTCAAAGTAGTGTCTTCAAATAAAGTTGGGTTGCCATACAGTAAGTAAGTAAGGTTCAATCACTCCACAGAAACAAGGAGTGCAGCAGACAGTAAGTTTTTTCAATTTAATCGTAGCTCTTCAATTATTTGAGGATTCTCTGAGCAATTGAGCTTATTTACATATCTCTCGAGTTTTTTCGCGGTCCACTGCTTATTGTTCAAGCACCCAATCGACGTATTTGGGGCGTTGTGAGTGATGAGGTGGATTTTGTTGTTGTTTAAGCTGGATTTGATGCGGATGTAGATACAAGTCCAAGTGCAAATTACGCCCAAGCTATTGAGAAAAAGACTCATTCAGGTCTACGGCTACACTTTCAATAACACTTTCAATTACTTACAATAAAATACCTAACTTTTATCTAAAACAAAACATGTTTGGTTTAACAATTAAGCTTGACAGTTGTCAAAATACAGCCCTGTGCTCTTGAAACCATTTATACAAGCAAATAAAGTAAATTAAAACAAACCATTTAGTATAACCTCACTTATTCTGCAAAGGTATTCCAAAGGTTCTTAAATGCCAGTAGTAAAGCAATAGAAATCTCGATGGGCTTAGAGGTAAATGGTGACAAAACGGATGTGTTACTGTTCACAAAGTCCCTGCGTAGAAACCCTGGAGGATTAACTGGATGAAGCTATCAATCAATGGTCACACATAAATCCTAGTGGTGGTAGCTGACATTTTATATCACCAACCGACACCGCAGTGGTGAGCACTGCAGCTGCAGGGAGAGGGGATAATAATTCAAGCCACGTTCAAACAGGGCACATGCGCAAGAAGTTTGGACATGCCAGGAGAACGTATAACACCTACACCGCTGGATCCAAAATGGCGTCACCTGATTCAACCGCTAAAGCTTCCAGGATATTTACCAGGAGGAGCTGCTCAGATAGCCAGCAATGCAAAAAACTATATAAAATAAAAAATTAAAAAATACCAATATTTACATATGTATGTATATCCAGATGGTAATAAAGGCAATAACCTCACATCGTATGGCGTCTTGGAGCTTCGCAGTCAAAAGTACTAAAGAAAGCTTCAAAATCGTTGAGTGTCACGAAAGGCGTTGGCGTTCTATATGACTTTAGATCGCAATAAATTCGGGTCTATTTCAGGGACATCATACCGCAAGTGTAATCTAACCTAATCTAAATAAAATGGAAATAAATTATAGTAAATTGCATGAGGTGAAATTGACTTAAGAAATTAGGAAATTAAACATAATAAAAAAAATTAATTTAAAAATATGAAATAAAATAAATATACAAACTAAAAGATTTAAAATATAAATTAAACTACATATTAAAAGTATTTAATAACATAATTTGAATTGAAATTTAGTAAAGTAGAGTATAATAAAATTAAATAAATTTGAGTTTTAAAATAATAAAATATAATTAATTATAAAATAAATGAAATAAAACTACAACAACAAAAAAAATCAATAAATTCTCATAAAAAAAATTTAAATAATAGAGAATCAAATATTATTAATTATATAACAAATTAATTAAGTTTAATAAAATATAACTAAAAGAATAATATTTATAGTACAGAAAACAAATAAAAAAAAAATTTTTTAAATTTTAAAGAACAAATTTGTGAAATCTTCTACTCATATCGAAAGAAGCTACAAATTCCAAAGCCGCAATAAAAGCTGATACTTCAACCTATTTTATATGTGCCGAATTAAAAAAAGGCGAAAAACATATTAATTATTAAATGAAATAAATAAGAAAAAACTAAAACGAAACCAAAAAAGCGGAAGCTGAAGCGGCGAATAATTTAAAGCGCTCTAACTATAATAGATTAAGACAAAATAACGATCAAAGCGAGGAAATCATACATATGTACACGCATATATATGTTTGTAAGTATGTATATTTAGCACAAGCGTAGCATGAACAAAATCTAAACAAACTTTGACGTGCGCCAAAATTTAATGGACTCAAGCAAAAAAAAAGAAAAAAAAAACAAAATATGTTAAGTAGTAGAAGAACAACGAAAAAAAACTTAATTATATTTATATAAAGACATTAAACGTACAAGCACACAATACTTCCACAATGGTGGTATGAAAGCGAGAGACTACGAGCAGACAGCATAGCAGACAGACACATTTACAGTAAAACAGAAAAGAAAAAAAAAGCCAACCAATTTAAAAAACAAAAACAAAACATGAAAGAAAATATAAAAAAAAATTAAATACTGGACAAAAATAATAAAAACAAAAGCTAATAAAATTTAAATTAAAAACGACACGCGAGAAAACTAGTGGAAATATGAGCAAAATAGAATAGTTGAGAAAAAAGTTGAACAAGAAAAAACAGTTTGAAGCTCTTCTTCTGATCTATAAATATATAAAAAAAAATAAAAAAAATAATTTGAAGAGAAACTAAGTAGTTTCAAATACTAAATTATAAGAATGAAAAGTAAAATACAATCTTAACAGTACTGAAGTGTAAAATTATGTAATCAGAACAATTTGAAAATAATGAAACCAAAAATATAAACAAAATCTAAATATAATAACTGAACAGACTGCAAGCAAACGAGTGAGAAAAAAAAACAACAGTTCATTAAATAAACAGTTACGTATTCGCCACGGCCCTCATACCGACCACAAACACAAATCAGCAATTACTTTCAATCTGACTGACGGTTGTTATTGATGTGCAAAGCTGAATTAATGCCACAATGACTATTAATGTAAATATATATGCGCTATGTATGCATGCGTGTACGCATGTAGTTGTGTGAGTGCTGCTAGTTCTTCTTGTTGAGACTGGCTGACAGTGGCAATAGCGGTATTGTGGTGTTGCTACTTCTTGACTTCTTGGTGGCTGGTTTAAATTGTTGTTGTTGTTGTTGTTGTTGTTGTTGTTGGTGTTGGTGTTGTCGTTACTGTTGCCGAGACGCACATCATAAATTCCAATTAACATATTTATGCGATTTATGTGTGTTAATACAGCCAAGAATATTTGTGCGTATGTATAGCTAGAAGCATACACATACATATAAACGCATGTATGAACGTGTTGTACAAACATATTTCGCTTGTTGCGTATTTCGTTGTCAGGTTATCTTCAACGCCTTCTTTCATTACGCCTCCTCCTCTTTTGTTGCTGAGTTTTTTCTTGCTTTATTCTTTTTGTACACACATACATATGTATTTACTTATGTTTTTTTACATCTCAGCGTCCGTTGATTTATTTTGACTATTTTGATGTTTTATGTTATTTATTTAATGTATTTTATTCTGCTTTTCTATTTTTGCCGCGTACAGTTTTAATCCAATCACTTTTCCGCCTACCATTAGAATTGTAGAACGCTTATGGGGTTTGTTTATCAGCTCTCATGCTTTGCATCTACCTTCCTCTAAACACAATATTCTTCTTTTTATTTTAGCAAAATAATATAATATATATATTATTATTAAAATAAATTTATATATTTATTTAAATATTTTTTTATTATTTTATTTTATTTTATTTTATTTTATTTTAAATTATTTTATTTTATTTAATATTATTTTTCTGCCGATTATAAGCCAGCATCTAACAGTAATGTAACTTAATTACGCCCCTTTGAAAAAAAGTATCAAAAGTGAATGGCTAGATAAGTTCTACTTGTTACACACTTCAACTTCACTTCACTTCACTTTACTACACTTCAAACTGCTCAAAGTTCTCCAGATTTGCTCCTTGACTTGCACAACGAAACTGTTTTTGTCCAAGTGAATTTTCGCCGAACTGACACCATAAAATTTTTGCTAATGAATATTTAAGGAATTGTTGTAATGGAGTAAGACATTCTTATGTACCTACAGTGCAGAGCAAAAAAGGGGAATAAGAATAGGAAAGTTTTAAAATATGATACTGCAGAGTGTAGAGAATAAAAGAGACCAGGCAGACGCACACGGAATTTGGGCTTTTTAATTTTTCCTAACAAATTTCCAAATATAAAATATTTATTTTTATTAAAAAGCGTACTTAGAATTTGATTATTTATGTATATATTACTTCACAATTATGTATGGATATCATAAAATTATTTTTTTTTTTTATTTTATTCAAAATAAGTCATTGTTGTCCGGCTGTAAGAACTTTGCCAATATCAAGTTTTAAGATTAAAAAACTATCGAACTTTTTTTCATTAGAATTTCACTTTGAGTTTTCAAATGCTCTCCGAAAATATTAGAGAATAAAAGATCTTTAACAAAAAGTCGTCTGCGTAGCTCAATCGCAAAAAAAAACGTCTCATATGCAGCTTGTGTTTATTTAGTAGCCAAATGAATTTAAAGTATGTTTGTGTGTACTCGTGTGCAATGGAAACTCAAATTTTATTTGTTTACCCGGCACTTTTTGAACTTTTGCAATAAATAAATGCATTCCGTATGTTTATTTAGTAAATTGCAAAAATTCAGGCAAAAAAGGACAGGAAAGGAAGACGAAAAGTAAATATATGAAATAATATAATAATAAATAAGTTAACATTATGTAAATAAAATTTAATATAAGAAAAAATAAAATAAATTATATGGATAAATCAATTGCCTTAACTTGGCTATCAACGACTTGTTCAAGGAGCCGGAATGTGCTGGCTGCAAGGTGGACGTCTACGCAGGTTACGTAGCGCTCGTTATCGAGGGTAAATACTTAAGTACTCTGAGATCATACGTCAAGCAAAGGCGCTTAAAGCCCAGATAGATGCCATTTTTCTAATTCACCAAGAGGTAAAGAAGCTCAGTAGTGATGCCTTTCGATTAGTGGCGTTCGCCTTCATTTGTTCGAGAAATTGAAATACTTGAGGACAATCGTAAAAAACTAACTGTTCTGGAAGACGAACATTCAGGAGAGAATTAAGAAGGGACCTTTACATAGCTGAGGAGTGGCGAAGGTAATACTTTTTATTATTATTTTTTTTTTTAATTTTCTTTACTGCATCTAATTAACTAAATTAACTTTCTATTAGTTTTTTCATTTCTTTTTATTTGTTTTAACTAGTTAGTTTAGTGTGATGTAATTCAAACAAGCTTTTTATTTTTTTTATTTTCACCTTTATATATTATTTCATTTTATATTATATATTTTATTTTTTATTTTTTTTATTAATTTTTTTTTATTTCTATTATTTCTATGTAATTTAATCGTTTTTCTTTAATTAAATTTTTGTTATCCAATTATATTTCTATTATTACATTTTATATTTTATGGTTATATGACTTTATATATTTTTTTCTTTTGTTTTTCTTTATGTTATTTCATTTTATTTTATTTAGTTTTGTATTATGTTATTTTATATAATTTTGTTTTATTTTAGTTCATTTCATTTCATTTAATTTTTTTATTTTATTTAATTTAATTTTATTTTATTTTATTTTTTTTTATATTATTTGATTTTCTTATTTTTATTTTTTTTATTTTTTTTATTTGTTTTATTTTATTTTATTTTATGTTATGTTATTTTATTTTCTTTTATTTTCTTTTATTTTATTTTATTTTATTTTATTTTATTTTATTTTATTTTTTTTTAAATGGTTTTATTTTAATCTAAATTTTTATTTTAATTTTATATATTTTATTTTATTTTTATCTTTTCATATTGTTTCATTTTATATTTCATACTTATATTACTTTTTTATTTTCTTGTATTTCATTTTATTTTTGTTTTTAGATTCTCAAACGGCAAAAAATGGCATCATTCTTCTTAAGTAATGGATAAATATAACTATAGTCAATGCCCATCTTGCTCTACAAAGTTTTCTTATGTAAGGGGATTTTTTAAGAGCAATAGGAAAGTTTAAAAAAAAAATAGTTAAAATTCAGAAAAGTTCATGAAATCTTTGTTTGAATCGATAGTACGGTCCATATAATTTTATGTTTGAAGATTAATTCATGCAAATGTTGACCGCGACTGCGCCTCAAATGGTCCATCCATTGTAAGACGATTAATGGTTAAATTATGGACCAAACTGAAGATGGTCGTTAGGAAGGCAGTACGCAATACTAACCACTCGCCTACTGCGGTCGCCTACTATGCGTTTACATAAATACGTATATACTATAAGCCTCGAAATGTCCTTACTATACCAGCAAACTTACTGCACTGTCCTCTCATTCCTCGACAAATACCACTTTGTTCAAAG